TCAGAGGACCCCTGGTCTGGCCCTGCCACTAATTAGTTATGGGAAAGTCAGTTAATATCCTTGATCCCCAGTTGCCTTGGCTGTCACAGTCCACCTCCCAGGATCACCACCAGGTGCAAATCAGGGAATGTGCCCAAAATGTGCACTTTGTTAACTGCAGGATGCTACGGAAATGAAAGGGATGATTCTCGCTGACAGCATGCATAATGGCACTTGATGTGACCTCCAGAAAAACCCTACGGAGTTGGAGAACCACTGTCACCAATCCACAGAAAAGGAAGGTATAGTTCTTTCCCAAAGGGGTCTGATAATGAACAAGCACAAAAGTTAGGCCGGGAACTTAAACCAGATGATGCCCAAGTCTGAGCTATTTCTCTAGTGAGCAATATTATTACAGAAGTCACATTCAACGGGATCTCTGAGGAGGAGTAGAATTCATATGGCCAGAGGGAGGAGGGGCTGCACCCACGACTCATCCATGCTTCAACTCCTAGATATTAAGAATCTATATAAACCACTTTCAGGGTCTGACCAAGGCAAGCACAGAGCCCATGTTTATTTGAAATGAATCCTGAGTATTTTTTCCGTATTAAAATCTTCGCGCATAATGCCTTTCATGGTGTAGTGTAAGGCAAACTGAGAGGAGGCTAGGTAGGGGGTGATACTTTACTGGTTTTGCTCCTAATCTCACTGCTGCTAGAGTCATTAAACCTTTACAAGGCAGGGATAGGAACCACTGCTTTGTGGATTTGGAAAGAATTCCTATTATGCTATAATTCCAGAATCTGAGATACATCTGAAAAAGCAGTCAAAACGACTAGATTTTTCCATATCTCCTGCCATAGAAAGGTGTCTGCTTTCTCTATAATTGCTGATGACCTGCGTGTCCACATCACACTCTGTCTTACACTGGACCCCCACTCCTTTCCTGTGGGGACACTCACACTGGAGTGAGGGCACCCAAATCAGCCAAGGCTTCTCTTGTTGTTTTAAACAAACTCGAGGTCGGCAGGAGAAGGCCCGGCCAGCAAGAAGTGGGATGATTAGATTTCCAGCCCTTGGTCCCCCTCTCCATCCCTGACTGTCATTCACGCCCTCTGATCAGAAGCAGATCCAGGATGGAGCCAGCCAGGCTCTAGGGCCAGTCGTAATGGGAAAGTGGGAAATGTGCTGTTGTTGTTGTTGAATTTAGGCCGTATATAGGTTTTCCAGAATTGAGCATACTAAAGTAAATTACTCATTTTCCCTCTAAGGTCTCTGCTTCTGCTTGTTTCCACAAGGACTCAAGTACTTAATGGCAGGTAAGTAGGTAAGCAGACCTCATGAACGGCCCAGAACTCACAGGCGCCTCCGACTGAAAAGCGGACGTAGCTGGATCTGGAGGTCAAGCCCTCTTGCAAAGAGCACTGGAGGGAGTCAAGAGATCTGGGTTTTAGTGAATTAACTACAAGGAAAGAGTGGGAGACAGGATGGCTCCCAAGGCTGGAGCTCCTTTTCTGACTCTGTTTTTATTAGACATGAGGTCTTGGCCAAGTCACTTCACCACTTTTTGACTGTTTACTCATTTGCCAATAAAACAGTTAACATTTATTGAGTATACTATAGATGCCAAGCACGGAATTACTTTACATACATCATCTCCATTTCACAGATGAGCCTACTAAAGCTCAAAGGGGTTAGTTAATTCACTTGCTACACATTCCACAGCAGGAGTTCAGATATGCTCATACCTTTAACCCCTAGGCTAAAGGGAAACCTTGAAGATTACCTAGCTACTGGGGCTTCTGCAAGGGTGAAATGCTTAAACATGGTTCATAGGTTTCTAGGACACATAATAGCGCCTAACAAAGGACACCAATTATTGTGGTATTTTCTTGCCTGCTTTCCTCCCCCACCCCCTCACCCCTTTGGAACTATAAGAAAGCACTGTCCAAGTCTATTTTGCTGACATCCTACAGGATAAGGAAGCAATGCCCTTGCTCATCCTAGATCCAAGGCCACAGCACGTGACTGCCTGTTTCAAGGAAACCTGAGAGGTCAAGGAGCACTTTAATTAAAACACCAACATGACATGAGGAGAAAAGCAAGCCAAACTAAACTCCTTAAAGCAGATCTTTCTCAGAAATGCTGGCCTTTCAAGAGGAAGAAGGGCCTGGTCTTGGCCAACAGCAGGGAAAGGACTGCTGAGCAGGAGTTTTGCTTAAGGAAGGAAGCTCAGGAGAGAAGCCCAGCCCTTCGAGAAGCGTCTTTAGCACCGTGTCCATCTAACCCAGCACTACAAGGTCCGTTCCCACGAATAATGGCGTTTGAGTCTCACAGCCATTCCCATGAGTAAACGCAACACAGATGAGGAAAATGAGGGCTGGAGAGAATGGTGGTTCACCAGGTTCACATAGCAGTGGGTGCCACAGCCTCTAAAGGGAGCCGCTGTCCACTGCACTGGGCCCAGGAGCTGCCCCACCAGGCATTTATGCTATGTTAACTGCATGCAGAGAGAGCAAAGGGCTCATGACACCCCTGTCCCCGTGCTATTCTTATCTTAACCACTCCTGGGTTATAGTCAGCTTCCTAGAAGCACTCAGTTAACTAATCCTCCAAGTGTCAAAAACACCTGTTCAAACCTTAGTACAAGATACCGTACAATTATGTGCCTGCTGTGACAAACTTCTCTTCCACGAAAAGCCATGCAACTCAACCGCACACTGTCAGTTTGGAGCAACAGTAAAATTAGATCTTGTATCTCTCAGTTTCTGAACACAAAGATCCTCAGTCCACCTTTAAGAAACTTCTAGAGTTGCCAAATGGACTGTTTTTATTTTAAAGGTTGGAAAGAATTCTACTAGTCCCCATCCCCCTTTCCCAATTTCAAACTGTTGATTGTGTGCCTGGTTTATGATGTTATTAAAAAACAAAGAGGGGTCTCAAAGTTTACAACCAACCCCCAGAGTGGGGAAGTCAAAAGAAAAACTTCATGAAATGTGGTTCAGTACCATCAGCAGCATGTGATCCAGAACAGGCAAGAGTAGCCAACTGCCTATCCCTTGGGCAATTAATTTGGAATGGAGAGCCACTCACAATGTGAAGTCAAGCCTCTAAAATGGAAACAGAGTTGAAAAAATCTAGGGATAGGCTTGAGCCCCCAATTTTATTTGCTATAGACACTGAGCATATCATTTAACCCCTCTGAGCTTCCAGTTTTCCATTTGTATAATGGGGATATTAGCACTTAACTCATGTAGAATAGTCTTTTAACTTTAGCTTCCTTCCTTCTTGGCTTCTAATACAGGCCAAAGATAAGCTTTCAAGTTCTGGCTAATATAAACATGACTCAAGGAACTGAGAGGAAGAATTTATGACCTTGGTGGACATGACGCTTGTCCCTTATGCCCACGTGGCTGGGGTTCAAGGGCAGAGATCAGCAGAAAATTCTGGAGGTGGGTCATGGACAGTTGTGAAAATGCAGGACTCATAAATTCTGAGACAGATTACCATCAGTTACGCTCCTCACCTCTGCCCTAAATTGACACGTCTAAAACAGGGTGGTGACCTTCCAAGTCAGGCCATACCCCAATTTCCATGACACGACTGTTGCTCAAAATAATTTTAGACTTGGTTCCAAAGTCCGTGGCTCATTTTTGCATCCTCAATGAGGACTTCATCCTTTAAGGGAAGACCTGTATGTTTATGCTTGCACCTGAGTAACCTATTCTGCAATTGGGAGTTTGCAAACTATTTCAGTATTCATGACCTCTTTTACTATTCATCACAATACTATGAAGCAAGATGGTCATCTCTGGTTTTAAGGATGTACGGCTTGTTAGCAGAATGCCAGGTCTAGAACCTCGGTATCTCAATTCCAAGTGCCATTTTATCTTCACTTTTCCACCACCATCCCTGGGTGTGAGAGGTGAATGATATGCCAGAGAACATAAGTGGCATGACCACTGTTACAGCAGCACAGCCATGGTGTGAACAGAGCCCAGAAAATGCCTGTGACATCTGATGGCATCCCCCTCTCTCTGGGGCTCAGTGTCATGGCTCAGAGCTCAGACTCTGGGCTAAGGGGCAGCTGGGTTCAATTCCTAACTCTGCGGCTCCAAGTGAACTTGGGCAAATTATTTTTACTCTTGCAGACCTCAGTATTTTAATTTGTAGAAGAAAGATAAGAACAGAATCTAGAGGGGCACCTTGGTGGCTCAGTGGGTTAAAGGCTCTGCCTTCAACTCGGGTCATGATCCCAGGGTCCCGGGATCGAGCCCCACATCTGGCTCTCTGTTCAGCCGGCTTCCCCCCTCTCTCTCTGCCTGCCTCTCTGCCTACTTGTGATCTCTGTCTGTCAAATAAATAAATAAAGTCTTAAAAAAAAAAAAAAGAACAGTATCTAGACTTCACCAGATGGTTGTGAGGATCATGCAGGCAAAGTATTTTAGGGCGGGGGGCTTTGTGTACTTTCATGATACTTTTAGTATATACATGCATATAGAAATTATACATCTGGTGTATTCGTGTATACATATATATTTAGTATTTGAAAATACTTTTCTTAAAAGATTTCTTTTATTTTTTAGAGAGAGAGCACAAGCTGGGAGAGGGGCAGTCCTGCAAGGAGCCCAATGTGGGACTTGATCCCAGGACCCTGGAATCATGACCTGACCCAAAGGCATCTGCTTAACCAACTGAGCTACCCAGGTGCCCCTGAAAATACTTTAAGTAATAGTAATAATGTAAATAAACAATATAGTTTATTGTGGCTCATTTTTGCATCCTCAATGAGGACTTCAATTGGGAGTTTGCAAACTATTTCAGTATTCATGACCTCTTTTACTATTCATCACAATACTATGAAACTCCCAATTCATAAACAAAAATAGTAATAATGTAAATAAACAATATAAATAACATGAAATTCTACTTGATCTGCCAACTGTGCTGGCTTGGATTTTCTGAAACAGGATCCAGGGGCAGTGAGTGGGGTTGAGCACAGTGGCCCGGATGCTTACCGCAAGGATGGCGATGACGATCCCCACAGCACAGAGCACGGCATCGTTTATCGTCTCACCGGTTTTCAGAGGATACTTGATGCTCTCATCATTGCAGTAAAACCCTCGGTGGTAAGGTTTGATGGTGCTTGTCTCAATGATGAGGAAGGGCAGGCCAGCTGCTCAAGATGGAACCACCATATGGACCAGAAGAAAAAAAGGAGAGAGAGAGGGAAAGGGAAAACATCAATGAAAGGAGGCCAAAGAAACACTGACCGACAGCAAAGACCACCCCAAATAAGAACATTGACAGTGACAGTAATTCCTTGCATTTGTAGTGATATGTATGGGCCACAGAGAGTGTTCAGTACATGCACGCACTTTCCTTCCTGGTCAGCCCCAAGAGGAGCATCCAGGGGTACTACAGGAGGCAGTGGAAGAGCCAGGGCAGGAGCTTTCCCCCTGTGCCACAGTACCCTCCTAAAATTTAAGCCCAGTTTGTAATATTGACCACCGGAGCCTCAAGTCTAATGACGTCTCATTCATCAAGAGTGTTAGTCGTCACCATACCCTCTTGGAGAAGCTTCTCCCGGGGCTCTGCTGCTTGGAGCAGGGAAGGCCTTGGAGTCACAGAACCTGAATTTGAATCTCAGATCCATCACTTCCTAGCAATGTGACCTTTGGTTCTAATTCCATTTTCCTGAGCCTCAGTTTCCTTGCAAATGAGTTGTAGGGACTCAAAGAGAATGAAGCCCACAGAACTCCTAGCATGGTGCCTGACACTTAGTAGCTGCTCAGTGGGGCCCTTTTCAACCTCTTTCTTCCACTGAAGAGTCACTAAGAAGACTAAGTGAGCTGAGTGGGGCCCTGCTGCCCACAGCCCTGGAGCAGAGCCCAAGGGCATCCGGGAGCACCAGGCCTCCCTGGCAGCTGCTGCGGGTTTATCGGTGTTAGCTTAGATGCCATTCTCTTAAAGGTCATGGCAAATGGATTCCATCACCTGCCAGGAAAAGCTCTTCATAACTCTGAAGCAAAAAGCAAAGGCCTATAGTATCTTTTGCCTGCTCACTGCAATGTCCTCCACATCCCTCTCCTGGTTTTCACTGACTCTCACATGTACCTACCAGTTCACTTCCTGACCACAAGCACATCAGTGCCTTGCTTAAGTCTCTTTGATGGCTCTCCATTGCACAGGACGAGATAAAGTCCCTAAGTATGACCTCGGGGGTTCCCTGTGACCTGGACCTCCTCTCTCTTGCCTCACGGTTGGCTGCCTTCCTGGACATGGCCTCCAAGGAGACAGTACACAGAGACTGTGTTTTTGTTCATACTCTTCTCTCCGACTAGAAAACCTCTTCTTCCCCTACCACCCAAGTTCAACACCAAGCCGCCATGCTACTTCGCAAAGTCAAAGGTGAGCCACTAAATGTTAGAGGACTGGGGAAGACCAAGAAAAGTATCTTGTTAATAGCCAGCACTGACGGAACAGCAACACCAGCAATGTGGAAGGTATTTTATACCCATATTTGCACTGAATCTTCCAACAATCTGAAGAGGTCAAGTTAAATTATTTAAGCACACATCGTTCATTTTCAAGTGAAGAGAACAGAGACGAAGAATACTTAGCTCATTCAGAGTCTCTTAGTCTACCCCCAAATGCCTGGATCCCCCAATTTAACTTTGCAAATTGGTTTCATCCAACTGTGAATTTCATTAGCTGAAAAATCCCAAGATAAGCGGCTGTTGAATAGATAAAATTCCATTTCCATGTTTCTCAAAAAGGAATTAAATTCACATCACGTTGCTCGCAGCCCCAGACCGCCTCTTTAAAAAAAAAAAAAATGTACCATGAACTCCACAATTTTTCAATTACTTTGGTCCACCCCAGCAGTGATAAAAACGCTCACTTTCTAAAAAGTGTATTTATGTATCACTGTGCATACACACATGGATTTATTTGGTTTTATTCTTCGGATTTATTTGAATTCTACGGCTATTTATTTTGTGACCCCTAACTGCTTCCTGCTAGAACAACAATTTACTTTATCAAATTCATACCGGTGCTTTGAAAAGAAAGAAACAGCGACACACCACAGCATTGTGCCTGACCTTCTCAAAGTAAACACAGAGGGGCCCTGGAAGCCAGTAACCATTAGCTCTTGAGACTGTCTCTGCAAAAGAGGGAAGCGAGCAAGGAGAGGCAGCTGGGAAACGAGGTGGCACAGAAATTGACAAGAGCATGCAGCCGATCTTTGCAGGTAGAAGGGCTGAGAGGGAAAAAAAAAAATATCACATAGGCCCGAACCATCTTCATTCTACTATTCCACGTTTTGAACTGTGGCCAAGTTGGCCATGAAAAGTAGCCGAGAAGCCAGCAGTATGATATTAATAGTCCGCTTTTAAAGTTCCACACGTCGTGATAAAACATTGAGCTCCGCGTCTGAGCCTGGCCTCAGCCTCCGTGGTGCCTGGGAGCCAATGCGTTGCTAATAAACTCAGGAAGGGAGCAGACCCCTGAGTGCCTTACGTTTGTGCTATGCTCTCAAGCCCCAGCTTCTATTTTTAATAGTGTTCACATGATAGGCCTGTAAAACATATGTTTCTAAGGACAATAAAACACATATAAAAGAGCTGTGGAGTTAGAACTGGATTAATGATCTCAACTGGGCTCCCTGCTACTTAAGCGAGTTATTTCCCATCTTTCCCGACGCCCTTCTCATCTGTGCAATGGGAAGAACGAGATCTAGTGTGGGGATGGTGGGGATGACAGAATATGCCAGCACACGGATCCATTCATTCATTCAGCAAACATTTATTCCGTCTTCACTGTGTACCCAAAGTACAAGGAACATGGAGATGGCATAAACCCTGTCCTCAGGGAGCTTACCATCTAGCAGAGGAAGATGGAATGGAAGGAAATCAGCACAGGAAGTGGCTTTAGTGAAAAGAAACCGAGCAACAGCACTGGGTAAGTCAGCACGACATCGGGGCGCACACTATGGACACTCAGGAGATGTTAAAATGACGAAGTGGGGGGGCAATTCCACAGAGAGGGCTAGTGAAGAAAATCTGTTTATTCTGTTCCTTTGGCTTCTCTTAGCCTGGGAGCAATCCAAGTCCTTTCTCTTCCTCCTTTGACTGAGGCTTAGGGAGTTTCCGGTTCTGATTATATGGATGAGGACCACAGACAGACAAGAAGCTGGATCTGAGTGGGTTCTGTTTATTTTCTTGAAAGGCATGGAGATAGCATTTAGAAAACCCAATGGCTTTTTCTGTCTTCCCTACAAACTTGTGGTATGACTGGCGGTGTTGTGGGGTGTGTGGGGGGGTGCCAGTCAAGCCCTGACTTTGCTCCAGAAAAGAGTAACCTCAGATTGCCTTCATTTGATGGGAAAAGCATAAACATTTTCTCAACGGGGCAGCTAGTCCTCAAGAAACATAACACCATGCCTTGTCTCTCCAGGACACAGGGAGAAGGCTGTTCTTTTCAACAGCAGGATCTCCATTTCCAACACTGGCACCACCTTTACTGCCAACTACTATAGTCCCCGATCCCTTCATTTCAAGAAAATTCCCAGTGCTAGTGCCTGGGAATCTAGAGGTGAATCTCATAGAACCTGCTCTCGAGAGGCTCATGGTATTTTAAGAAAATTACAAAAACAAGTGCACTAAGATATTTCGAAATGTGAGGACTGATGTATGTACAGAGTACATGTAGGGCCCAAAAGACTGCCCTACCAGGAACACCAAAGATGGCCGACAGAGGATGGAAGGCTTGAGGGAACCCTTATGTGAATAGGAGGATTTTCAGATCTAGGGACTAAGTACACTCAAGAAACTCAATGTAGTTTAGTGATTTCAATAAGGCAGTTGCCCAAACATATGGCTATTACGAGAATATGATTTTAAATCTGGCTACAGAGCAGGGAAGAGACGCACCAGTAGACAACGAAAGGAAGAAGGGGAAAGCTAGCACAGACACAATGAGAGAAGCCAACATTTACTAAACAGCTATGTGCCCAAACTGGGCTGAGGAACCCCACATGAATGTCTGTCGTTTGAAGAACCTGGATGCCTATTATGTTCTCAGCACTGACCCGGCCACTGTGCTAAGGAAAGTCCCAACCTTCAAGCCGCCCAAGGGCTGATGGGAGAAAACTCATAACAACGAATGCATTCAGTCACCCCAAGATTCAAAGGGATTAAAGTTGACTTAACAGAGATACTAGGACTTTTGGGTGCTTTCTAAAGTCAGTGAGTTTAAAACAGAGAAGGAAGCCCCTGTGAGTATTGATAAATTAGCTACAGCTCAGCAAATTTCATGGCCTTTGAAGAAAAAGATGCTTTCCATGGAGGAGTCAAGGCAATAGCACAGGTGATTATTCACTGAACATTTACCACGTACCGCGCATGGGCTCAGTATCTGATTTAACCAACACTCTGAAGCCAATATCCTGGACTTGAGATTTATCTATAATGAAAGCTAATTACAAGCTTTCTGCAAAGCAAAACCAAACTCTGCGTGTGTGTTTGTGTGCGTGTACATACCATTTGGTGATTCTAGACCCCAACTCAAAGCACTTCTCCTTCTTTTAATCAAGGATCAATTAACTTCCTATACCTCGAGGGACCTCTTGGGATGTGTAGGTTGCAGAGGAGGCGAAATACGAACTCACTGACAAACACTTAATGGGCAGAAAATCAAAGCATGAAGAAAGGCCCCTGTGTTGGGTTCAGGCCTTTGAAACTTCTTGGGCTTTGAAAAACTAACACTTGAGCAGGTTGGGTGGTTTAGGGGGTGGGGTGTAAAAAAAACACAGGGTAAGTTTTTGCGGCCCACCCATTGATAAAGTCATGTGGGAAGTGTTACCAAAGTGACCCAGCCGCAGAACCCTGCTCCCTTCAGCCCCAGCTTCACGTTTGCACAAAATTAAACACAGCCTCCCACTCTCAAAGTGCTTTTTAGAAAGCCGTGGCGTGTGTCAAGGAAAGAGTGGGGGTAGGAAAGTGAATAAGAAATCTCCACACTTTGCAGGACCCAACTCAGAGCATCAAGGAGAGGCTGCCCGGGCTCCTATAGACCAAAACCTTCGACTGCCTTTCCCAAAGCTGCCCGGCTTTCTACTTCACCCGATCTGTAGTTACCTTAAAATGAGCAGAGTCCAGGATCTGTGAGAGT